ACTAAACCTGAGTGGGAACGTCCTTCCAACCCACTCAGATGGGAAGGGGTAGTTCAGACCATCAGTCTAGTTACCAGAACATTTCTAGAGGAAATGGACCCATGTCACATGAGGCTACGGCATCATGTCATAGAGAAGGTGACAGTTAACATTTTCTGTGAAGAGGCAGATAGTAAGTACTTAGAGCTTTGAAGGCCACAGAGTCTCTGTAGAAACTCCACAGCCCTGCTGATGTAGGTTGAAAGCTGCCCCAGACAGTATGTAAATAAGTGAGCATGGCTGGATTTCAAGATTTCATTGACAAAAAGAGTGGGAGGGTGAACGTGCCGTTTGCCACCCGCTGCCAGAGAATTTAGGCCTATTTCACATCAGCTGAGGACGTAAGAGGTGCTGTTTCTCCTCGTTATCCAGACAGAAACTTTGGGATTGCCTCCAATCCCTTTTCCTCCATTATTTTCTGCATTTAATCATTAATCAACATTGTGGGGTCCACCCTCTCAATAGATACCTTTCCTGCCATCTCCTCCAAGGCCTCTTTGACCAGCTCATCTTCAGCAGGTTCAACCCGACTGTGTTCCATCTCATCATGCTGTGTGTGTTTCCTTAATAGCTCAGGTGGCAGCTTGAAAGGACCTCATTTGCTTTTTACTTATTTATTATTTGTCTCCCATACTGGCGTGTGAGCTCCTTGAGGGCAGTGAACTTACTGCCTGTGGAGCAGGCGTCTGGCACAAGCTCCGAGCACACTTGTTGAATGAGAAAAGACCCTGAGCCAGTCCCCCTGCCTCTAATTTCCTGCATTCTTCATTTCATCTTTCACATGAAACCTAGACATAAGACACCAGTGAAGGCCCACAAGGAAAAAAAGACGACGTGCTTAAAATAGGATCAATAAAGAAAGGCTCACCAGAGGGGCTGTTTATAAGGTGAGAGAGGATCTTGACGGGCAAACAAAAGCTCTGTGGCGTCATTATACTCTTGAGACACACGTCAAATGATTCTTAAAATCGCGCCTTGGACGGCTGCCTGTTGCCTACGAAACACAATCCAAAGACGTACTTCACATGCCGTCAGCGCCCCCACGGCCTCCCCCATCTCAGCGTTCCCTCATTGGCTCTCAGGCCTTTTCCCAGTCGCAGTCCCATTTGCACACTGTACTGTTTCCGGTCTCCTTTGTCACTCACACCAGAAGGCAGTTCTCCCTAATCTGTTCTCAAAACTCAGTTTACAAGTCCGTCCTTCTGTGAAGCTGTGAAGGGGCACATTGGGTTGTAGTTCCAGCTTCTCTTCTCCCCCTGTATTTATTATACTTTCCAGTAACGTAGCCCCTGCCGGGTTTCTGAATTAGGTCAGGTGCTTTGGCTGTATCGCTAAACCCCACAGGAACCCAGCAGTGTGGCTATTTGGATTCCTTATTACAAATAGAGACTGTCAGAGAAACCTAGGTGTGACCGCCTTACCCGCTGATGAATGCGCATACCTGATGTTGATAGCGTGAGCCTCCCAATGTGACGTGGTATAAGGTACAGTCACCCCCTGTGAAGGATTCTGGCCCCAAAATCTAATCAAGTCTTTCGATCTAACAACCATTTGGCAGGGGATCTGGGAAGTAGAGGGCTGCGGTAAAATATTACGTGAAGAAACTGTCAGACAAAAGCATGAAATGGGACCAGCTAACTGGTCTGCTTCCAGCCCAAAGTCAATTTTATGGGATAAGTGAGATGGAGAACCACTCCAGATGGAGGTGTGGCGGACAGAACAACCACCAAATGTAATGCGCTGTCTTTGTCTGTCCAAGTTTGGGAGATGCTGTCTGTGCCCTGCCCTTTTCCATTGGCACTTGCTGTCCCATCGGCACTAGCCCTTCTGTGTCAAAGGCTTTTGACTTCCAGCCCCTGAGATCTCGGCCTGGGGGCTTTCCCCAACTTCTCCGTGCCTGGGGTGGTCCAGGAGGGACTAGAAAGTTCATGGCTGTGGGAATAGCCCTCAGCTAATAGAGGAGAGCGTTTGGAGAATAAATGTCTCAGCCTCCTGTGGGTGAAAAACTTTCAGGAGTGGTGTCCACCATGCCCCAGAGGTCTGCAGTGCAATCTACTTCCACTGACAGAATTCATCTTCTCATGACAGCACTCACTGTCCACTGTGCTGCCCGTGCTCCCAGCAAACCGCTCCCACTCAGCATCCTTTCCTCAGGGGCTGCTTCCGGGGGAACCCACCTGAAAACAGGTGTCAGACGCCTGCTCTTTCCACCAGACAACAGTGTCACCTTCACCCCTTCTGCCCCCTTGGTCTGTCCACTGGCTTATTTCCCGGCCTTCGGCGACCGAAACTCTATGAGCCTCAACTCTCGTTTGCGACATAGGTTAACAATAGGAATGGCCCTCTCTTTACACACTTTCAACTTATGAACGTCTGTAGGTACAATGACTCTTGTTTTACTCAGTGCTGTTTCTGGCATTGGCTTTATTTATGAGCACCTGTGGGAGTTCATAAAACCCGGTAATAATAGAAGTAACTCACTGCATAACATCAGGGATGGTTTGAATAAAGTCATTTTGTACTTTTGCATAAATGGACTTAGTATGACGTAGCCTTGGGGAACTGACGCACTGGTGAGTCGAGCTGTTTCTGAGCCTCTCAGGTACAGGCAGTGTGTGGATGACTGATGCATGATGGTGGGAGGGACACAGCTGCAGGCCTGACTGAAGGGGCGCCCAGTCAGTAAGAGCCGTGTGCTTTCCTAGATGGCAGAAGCAGTGGTTCCTTCATCTCAGATATTTCCTGATAGTGGTTGTGCAAAAATGGATAAGACAAATTCTATACTCTGTAGCTTTCTTTTCGTAATATATTTGCAATAACAAGTGTCCAGCAGCTCACTGTCCTGGGAACTCACTTACTGCATGTAATAATCTCATTCATTTTTCACAACTTTCTTGTAACAATGGCCAGAGTAAGGCAAGTTAATTTTCCACTTTATGTTATGCCTTGTTTAAATTTTTGATACACATGGATTATTTTTATAATAAGTAAAAGGAATTATATATAATTATATTAATAAAATAGCCACAAAGCAGCACCAAGTACTTTGAATTAGTGTGACAGGACTTATGTGGAGACTCATGATAGTATTCCTCATGGAAGAAAATTTGTAATATTTGGCAATTTTATTCAAAAAGTCTGATCTTTTTTTTGGGGGGGGGATTAGTATTTTCTTTATGGTCAGCAATGTATAGAAAATAAGATTTATATGAAATTGATATAGATCCTTAACACACATGTGCATGCACACACACACATACACACACACACACACACACAAACAAACAAACACAAACACACGCTTTTATAAAAATTTGATACAGGAAATTCTAGTCAGATCAGCGTTACATACTTAGCAATCTTTGTGGTGATCAAAGTTTTGATGTTGTAATGTATTCTTAGTAGAGTTATATTTTCTCAGAGAGAGTGAGAGAAAGGAGAGTAAACAAAAAAAGAAAAATGACTGTTTTTCCTCAAGGTCAGTAGCTATTGCATATTGATTTCCCAATCCATGCAAAGTATAATGGTAAAGGATTTCATGATTTCCCTTAAGAATTGTCATTCGTATTTTGAAATGCATCGCAATTAGAGGAACGTGATATATATATACACATGGGTGAATCAGCTTCATAAATACGCTAAGGTTCATCTTTTTCTTGTTGCAGCTCCTAGATTAACTATCACAACCAAAAAATAAGGAAGTTGATTATTTTACATTCTATGCCTAAATTAAGGGACCCATTCATTATTGATTTGAATACATTTGAAAAACCTATGTGATGTACCCCCCGGCGAAGTTCTGTGAACCGGCGAAGTTCTGTGAACCATGCATATTGCTAAACTGTACAAAACTTGTAAATAAAACATGACTATCTTGAATATATTTGCCAGAATAATGAATCATAGTGGGCTGCTGTCCGTAAGCTAGCAGCCGGTGACGTCTGTTCCTTTTGCTTTCCTTCAACGTTTGAGCAAGCTGGTAAGAGCCTTTATCACCAAAAGCAAGCAAACTACTGGAAACGCTCTGATCCTAAGACACTGGATGCCTCACATGGCTCACTTCTCGAAAAGGCTGTGATGGGCACCGATCACCAACTCAGCTCCCATTGGTCAACAGCATGAACCCCACCCCCCACCCCTTCTCTTTTTTCTTCAGCCTCCTTCACACCCCTGACTTGCCTTCTCTGGCATGTCAGCATGGAGCTGGCAGGAGGACTCATTGAGAAGTTGGGAAATAAAATAAATACAGACAAGTTGAACTTTGGGGCAAGTTATTATCTCTACTAGCTGAGTAATTTTTTATTTGTACATTGAGGATAGTGATACAGAACATGTAAGCCCTTGCTGACATATGTTAAGGCACTGAAAAAATAGTTTTTTAAATTGTAAACTAGTACATATTCACGGTGGGAAAAAATTTTAATTCCAAGAAAGTATAAAGAACCAAATAAAAGCAATGCATTGTTGTACCTAGAGATTGCCACTAACACTTTTTTCTTTTTTAAAACAAAAGTACCTATTCATTTTATATGCTGTTCCCCCCCACCCCACCCCACTTTATCTTACAGCAGTTGCGCATCCTGAGTCACTAAATAGCAAAATTTCATTTTTTTAAAAAAGATTTTCTGGGGAATTGGGGGAAGGGGAACAGACAAGTTGCTGTCTTTTTGTTCTTCAGTCTAGTTGTGGAGGACGTTGCTTCACTGGCACAAGCTGGCACCATCATTGTGCTCTTCCCGGGTGAGGCAGTCGCCGGCCTCTGGACGGCTGCTCACTGCGGCTGCTGGCCGCTCACGCTGGCTGCTGGCTACATACGGTAGCCCATGGCAACCCACTGCAGCAGGGGCTGCAGCCTACGCCGTTGCCAGCGACTCACAGCAGCCCAGCTCCAGGTTGAGCTGTTGTTCAGCATCTTAGCTGTATAGACCAGTGTCACTGGCCCTCATATGTGGGATCCGAACCGGGGCCCTCTGGCGTCCCAAGCCGGTTCTTAACCAATGCGCTACTTGGCCAGCCCAAAGCTTTATTTTTAAACGGTGACACACCACACAAGTGCAAGCGTCATTGCTTTTCTTCAGTTCTGAGGCTGAAAAAGACAAATGCATACATTACTCAGGGAGCTTGAAGAAGCGATTTCCTTGGCACTTTTCAGGACAGGGTGATCCCTCTGTGCCTGAACTGACCATCTTGTTTGTTGAACTGAGTTGGAATTTTTTCAAGTTCACATCAGATTGAGACTCACCTTCGAATTTTACTTTAAATTTCCTAAGCAGCTTGGGAAGCATGGGTTTTGTCTTCTAGAAGCTGGGGCTATTTTGTGGGAGGAAAGAACGTTTCTTTTGTGAACTATTAGCAGGACTTGGAAACCAGAAAAGAATAAAATGGTCATCTGTGAGGTCTGGGGACTGGGGGTTGAGTTAAGACTTTTGGAGTACTCCAAAGTTAATAGGAATAGAGTAGTTTTATACAATTTACATGGAATGCCATGAAACGTCTTTACCTTCTACTATCATAAAAACAACAACAACAACAACAGAAGTGATAGTCTGAGAGAGATAAGCCCTTCTGGTGATGCCTCTGTGACATAAACATGGATGTCCACAAAGGGACAGTGGCCCAGTGGGGTCCGTCTGTTGTCTGTGGTCCCACTTCCCAGCAGCACTAGAGGCATCGCCTTGTAGCCTGCCTTTAAGCTTTGCCGCTGGTGAGGGGTCCAGTGGTGTAGCCGTTAGTTTCCAGGACTTGCTCTGCTTACTAGGAAGCTGTTGCCAGATCAGGGAGGCAACACACCATACGCATAAAAGCTGTGCCAGAGCCCCGGGGATGGATAGACCACGGAGATCTAGAATGACAGGCCCGTGAGACCCAGCCGTGGCACCCTTAACGTCTTCAGTTTGAGCCTGGAAGCATTCATCATTTATTCACAATCTGTCCACTGAGTTCCCACAATGTGACAGAGACGTTCCGTTTTCCGGGGCTGGAGCAGTGAACTAGATACATGGTGTCCTTTTCTTAAAGTGTATGATAAACAATGTGATCAAGTAATAAACAATGCAGTCAACGTCCTCATTTTTTCTTCTGTTGCTCTATTAAATCTAGAAGCTGTAAGAGGAAAAATAGGAGCCTTGAGTTTTATATAGCATATTCTAGCAGGGGAGAAAGACAGTAAATATAGTAAAAAAACCAAAACAAGAAAAACATTGGAACATGATAAGCGTCAAACAGAAACGTTATAACAGGGCGCTAGGTAATAGGAAGTCACTGTGGCTCTTCCACACTGGTGGTCAGAAAGGCCTTCGTTCCTAAGGAGGTGGCCTGTAAGCTGAGACCCAAAGGACTAGCAGGACAAAGCCATGTGAAGATGATGGAGGGAGATGGGGGGTAATCCAGGCAGGGGTACAGTTCGTGCCTCACCTGGCTGATCTCAGAAACGAGCACCTCCACCCATCGTCCCAGGAAATCTAGACTTGGCTATATTCCTAATATTTGTCCTGGCCTTGTGAATGATTTACGTTAGAAGTAAACTCAAATACACTTAGTTTCATTTATAATAAGAGAAGGTCAGTTAAAACTATTCTGAGGTTCAGTTTTTCACCTATCAGATTGGCAAAGATTAAAAAGTTGGAAAATAATGTGTTAACTTTCCTTCAATTCTCCTCCCTGTGGGGTGAGGAGCCACTGGGCCCAGGGACTGTGCCCCCCTCCCCCCCCCCCAACCCTGCCTTCCTGTTCTAGGTCATGTTCCAAGGATCTCGGATCCTGGAATTCCCTCCTCAAAGGGCCCTGAGCCACTTCCACAGTGAGCATGGGGCTCTGCCCGGGCCTCTGCCAGGGCCAAGGCAAGGCTGTTCTTGTGTAAAGTGTGGCTTGTCAGTAGGCCTTGGCCGCAAGCCCGGGTTGTCCGTGTGCGTACAAGAGGCCCCGTGCAGTGTGGGCTGGAGCCTGAGATGGGAGGACAAAGGAGGCAGGCTGTGTAGCCTGGGTCTCTCCATCTGCATTCAGCCCTAGGTCTTTCTTGCAAATGTTACTAGAGATTCTGTAAGTCAACCACATGCTTAAAATCGCCCAGAATGAGTCACCATTTCTGGGGTACCATTAATACATTACTCTTCCTCGGACATCTTCATTCTTTAAAAGCCTTTGAATCTTTTATATTGTATCTTTTTAAAGTGTGGGGAAAAAGATTGTCAACGAAAGCTCTAAAACATATATTGCAAATTCAGATGTCACAGGGACCAGGCAAGCAACAGAAATTAGAAGCCAGCTGGAGGACGGGACCGTGAGAAGGGGCATGGACCCTGGTAAAGCAGAGACCGCACTTCCAAAGTGGTTGTGTGGCTGTTATTAATAGATACAGCATCCCTTTTCAGAGCTGTTCACCATGTTGTTACTACAAGTGCTATGTTTTGTTTACGGGAAGTTGAGCAGGATGCCACAATGAGGTTTTGCTAATTTAAAGTTTGTACAATGAATGGACGCTTTATGCTCAAGATTATAGAGTAGTTAGCTTTGTATTCTTCTTAAAATTGATAACAACTTGTTTTAAAAATCTATTTTTAGATTGGCTATGTTTGAAAATAATGCAAGTGATCAAATAGTGTTGTTTTGGGCTTTTTTTTTTTTCTTCAAATAATGGATTCTTCTGGACCTAGCAGATGTTTAGCAGATTTCAATTTATTAGCCATAGTAGTACTTTCAGCCCAGGGCGCGATGCCTGACTATTGTTAATATAGTGATCCTTTGGCCGTGTTTGCCAAATAATTTACACTGGTGTTTTGTTAACACAGCTGAACACAGCCCCGTTTGCTGTGGGGGATAATAAAGCTAGCCATGGGGTTAGGAACTTGCATTCTCAAAGGAAATACATACGGTCTGAACAAATGAACTCTCTTATTTAATGTCTTCTAGATTTTCCTGCCCAAATCGTCTTTCCTTCTAATCCCTTGGATCACGTGTAGTCTCTTTCAGAAACACGGGTTGTGTATGTTTTCGTGCCACGCTGGAATGAACCTTTTTAGTAGTCAGCATCCTTTGCTTGTTGACCCATGTCCACACAAGTCTTCGGTGTTTTCATTTCAAATACATCTTCCTCCACGTTCTTTATAGAGAACCGACTTAGGGAGGTGATTCATGAGGAGATGCTCTAGGCTGCTATGCTCTCCTGGGACTGGCCCTCAGGGTTGTTTTAAAAATAGATCATGTTTCCCAAGAGGGATTACATGTAGCATTTTCTGTTCTTGCCTTCTTTGGCCAGTCTAGACATGGCCCTTTTACATAGACCTTTGAAAAACAAGGGCGGCACATGGGGTAAAGGAGCCCAGCCCTGGAGGGTGTTGTTTTGCACATTCATTACTAATAAATGTTTATTTGAGTATTGAAGAGTCAATTAAATAATTAACTGGATGCACTGTTTTTAAAATTTTTTTAAACGTATTCTCATAGGCCACATACTGTTACTGTGTTTCCCCGAAAATAAGACCGAATCTTATATTAAGTTTTGCTCCAACAGTCTACATTTATTCATTTATTCATGTACAACAATCTACATTTATTCAAACAGTCATGTCTGGCTGACGATCTTAACTGTGGCTTATGTTTGGGGTAGGGCATATATTACGAACATCTGAAAAATCATGCTAGGGCTTATTTTTAGGTTAGGTCTTATTTTCAGGGAAACACGGTAGCTATTGGAGGTAGAAACCGGAATGAAACAGAATCCCTGCTCTCAAGGACTAACAGACGAGTGACTTACTGCCCACTTAATGGCAGCTGTATCCTATGGTGGCATCCCAGTTGAGCTTGTGAGATCTGTCCCAACAAAGCTTTACAAAGAGATGACGCCTGAACTGAACCTCCAGAGACAGGTGGCAGTAAGAGAAGAAAAAGTTGGACATCAAAAGAGCATCCCAGACAGGGACTAGCATGCGTGAGAACAGGGAACCGTACAATACTGGAAAGCATCCGTGATTTGTCTTTACCACAATAATTTTAAGTGACAAGCGTAAGGGAGTGATACTAAGTGACATTAAAGAAAGAGGCTGGCGGCAGGTCGGGGATGCCTTGGGAGTCGTGATTGAAGATACTTGGGGTGATTTCAGTGCCGGGTTCTAGAATATGAAAAATGGTGATATTCGTTACTGAAGCAGAGAGGTTGCTTCCCCTCTCTCTCTGCCATGTGAAGACACGGCCAGAAGAAGGAGGGCCCTCCCCAGAACCGAATCGGCGGGCACCTTCATCTTGGACTTCCCAGCCTCTACAACTGTGAGAAATAAATGCCCGTTGTTTAAGCACCTAGTTTATAGTTTTTTTTTTTTAATAGCAGCCTGAGCAAACGAAGATAGTTCCTTGTTTCTTTCAATGACACCCTATTCCCAGTCAGGCTAGACATTCAGAAATCATCCTCATCAACTCTTGTGTCCACCTCCACAACCCATTACGCTCAATCCTGTTGGCTCTCTTTTCTGGTATTCCCGCGCTGTTTAGTACCATGGTTCCTTGCCATTTGTCATCCGGACTATTGCAGTCATCTCTTAACTGGTTCCATTTCTGTCTATAAGCAAGCTCCCAAAAGACTTACAGAAGAGGAATTTGAGGCATAGTGAAGCAAAAATCTCCAGGGGCTCTCCGCTGCCTGAAGAATAACATTCAAACTCCTCAGCACAGAATTTAGAGGGTCCTACCCGGCCCCCCCCCCCGCCCACCTCCCTGCTGCCTGCCAACCCACGATATGGCTTCGATCACCTTTCCAGCACCATTTCCTGATACACACTACACACAGCCACGGGCCTTTTCTATCAGCCATGTGGGTTCACCGAGCATGTTTTCAAGCTTTGGGGGTCTTGGTGTGTCTTCACTCAGCTAGGAAAGTTCTTGCTTTTCCATGAGGCACTGAAACCCTACTCATTCTTCAAGACCCTTTGGAAGTGCTGCCTCCTCCTCGCCAGCCTCGGAATTTCTCTCCTGAAATGCTTATGCCTCCAACTCCCAACATCCTTGGCTTCTCCCATTGTCTTGCCATGTAATTTTTACCACGATTCTTACCTTCTTTAGATTGAGAGCTTTGTGAGGATGAGGACCTAGCCAGGACAGTGCTGGGTATGCTGGAGGGATGCAATTAGTGTTTATTGAATTTAACACTGGGGCATGGGACGGCACTGAAACAGGAAGTGGGTGCATTTAAGCAAAAACAGTTTCGCCTTCGTCTTTGCCTAAGCCAGCCCTCCTGGGGGTAGGATCTATGTGTTCTTTCTCTGAAGGCATATATTCAAGCCACAGAAACTGTGCGTGACCTATACCAGACTTGTCATTCTCATACTTCAGATGTGTACTATAAATGGGAAGCACAGAAATTTCTATTTGTCTTGCATCTATCTGCTGTTTTTGTGTCATTTTGCTGTTCTTGGTTTAACATGTCTGTTGCATCAGAAAGAATTTGCTCTTTGTCCCTGGTTCCTGCCAGGGAGCTTCTAAAACCCATGGACTTTCCTAACTGACCGAAGTGTTTTTTGTTATTCATGAGGCCCCTGGATCACACCTGAGTTGATGCTAATGAAGCATCTCTGGCGGGTCCCTAGATAGCTTCAGGATGGGGGCTGATCTCCAGAGTGACCAACCACAAGATTAAACAGTTGGGACTTTGAGCCAGTCTGACCTCCAAGGAGAGCAGGGGTCTGGAAATTGAGTTCAAGCACATGGCCAATGATTTAATTAAGCACACCTACATAATGAAACCCCGATAAAAACTCTGGACATCAAAGCTTAGTGGAGCTTCCAGGATGGTGAACACCTCGATAGCATAGGAGAGTGATATGCCCTGATTCAATGAGGAGAAGGTACAGGGGTTATGCATTTGGGACCCTCCCAGACCTTGCTCTACGAGTGACCTCATTTGCTGGTCCTCTTTAACCTTTATAATAAGACTGCCCTTGTAAATATTGCAGTGTCCTGAGTTCTGTCAGTCATCCTAGTGATCACTCATGAGAGTTCCGAACATTGGAGCCAGTCACTCAGACATGCAGGTGACCTGGGGACCCTGAAAGTGTGACTGGCATATGAAGTGGAGGCTTACGGAGGACTGAGCCGTTAATTTGTGGGCTGGGTAGTGCTAGAAATGAATTGCAGTACACTAGGTGGGGTGGAAACAAAAAGTAATGTCACAGAATTCAGGTCAAAATGGAAGACGAGACTTCCATTACTTCTGCCAAGCAGAGAGGGAAGAAGTCACTGATCACGTAGTCCTGCTTAAACTAAGCCTGTCTGGGAACTGTCCAGATAGGCACATGAGGACATAGGACTTCTCTTTTGATATTACAGTTTGTCATGTGTCATCCAAACTGGTCTTGTACCTCCTTCTGGTAAAGTTTGATGGCATCTGAGTTGGCACTGCCTCTTTAACAGCTGTGCTTCCTCTAAGTTCCTTTGACTAGTTCCTTTTTGTTTCAACTTTGCTTTTATAGCCCTTGTGTGCTGTCCTGACCTTCACATTCTCTTACTTTCAACCCTGTGAGGACATCATGCCATGGCCATGCACTTAACAATGAACTTTATTAGCTCGCTTTCCTAGCACGGCTTCTTTTTTGAGAGGTCAAAAGCAAACTTCTGAGAAATGCCAGACCAACCCAACCAGCTTCACTTGTTTTCCCTTTGAGTTCTTAACCCAGAGCCCTTTCTTTTCTTCTTCTTCTGTTACCTCAGGAAAGAAAATTGTCTTAGCTCTTTTTCTTTAACCCAATATTTTGCTCCTCAATATTTATTGAGTTTCTTCCCACTGAGGAATAGCTTTATTTATTTATTTATTTTTTTAGGAATAGTTTTATTCTTTGGAAATAATAAGTTGTCAAATCTTTGTGCCCAAAGACAAAAAAAAAAAAGGGAAAGAAAGAAACACATATATGAGTAAAATACAACTTATCAAACATGCTTGGAAGATCACATTTCTTTCTAGAGGTTGGTTTATTTTTTTCAGTTAATGTGCTTTTCCCTGGTAAATATAATTAGTTAACAAATTTCACTGAACAGAACGGGGCATCCAATTGAGAATTACTCATCCAATTTCCCCCGTGCCTGCAGAGATTCCGTATACTATTTAGTGGGGCAGGACAAAGCACAGGCCCTGATCACTGCACCTCTGTTTACATTGTAATTCTATTTCATTGTGTGTGATGGATTTGCATATCTCAAAATAATTGTACAAGTCGACACTCGAAGCACTCATTGGTTTATTAATATACATTTTTAAAGTTAATGTTGCTGGGTGCTTCCTGTCCATGGTTCTGTTCTTGTCCCCTTGATGGTATTACCTCATCCACACTTTAGTCACCAAAAGTATTATCTAATCAAAATAAAGTCTTCAAGATACACTTCATTTCTGCTTTCATCGTGACTCTGAGTCAAAACTGAGCAAATTGCTAGGAGAGCTAAATAAAATAGAATTAAAAAGTCTCCTGGTACAGTTTCTTCCATAGCTATTGGGCTATTGGAAAAGTCACGATGTACTTTTTTATGTTTTTCGTTGCAAAAATGCGTCATGACTTTTCCGACAACCCAGTAGAATAGCCTGAATAATCCGTATGGAACTTTTCCGTGTGTGCCTGAAAACATTTGCTACCAGCACTGTGTTCCTTATGTCTTAGTAATATTTACACATCGTGGATGAGCCACAGAAGTCCCCAGGGCTTGGTGCGCACCATGTGTCAGAGGCCTTTCGTGTGTTCGATAGTAAATAAGTATGAAAGCAAGGGTGGGATTTTTGGTTTCTGACCCAAGGATGCTTCGTTTTAATCCGGGTCAGAAAGAGAGGATATTATAAAATCAGTATTTGTTGCCTGACTCTCTTTTGGACAGGGTTAGGCACTCGACACGCTACATTTTTACAACAGCTCTACCAGGTAAGCATCTGTCCAATGTCGACTAAATTCTGTCCCTTGATAGATGCATTGCATGGAATTCTTATTGAGAAGAAGTAGACTTATTGGTCTTACCTGACTGTGTGCAGGAAGGCCGTCCAGGACTGGTTCTGGGAACCTGACAGGTTCTCCAAAGAAATCTGGGGCGGTGACTTACTGGGCTTACTGCCACCTTAAACAAATGAGGGTCATGCTAACGATGAGAGGAGAAGCAACGCCTCTAGAACCTCTCCTTCCCCATTCCCACCCCTCACTCGTCCAGGAAAATGTACTGTCTTGCCTGGGCTTCTGTGATTGTCTTATAATCGGCCACTTAAGCCCTGATCTCGTGCAGCTACGTCCACGCTTCATACGTCAACCAGAGCGACCTACCTCCCATGACCGCAAACAGGAGCGAGTCACTCGCTTGCTTAAAGCACATCATTGGCTCTTTGTTGCTCTTACAGTAATGTTCCAACTCCTTAAAATGGCATTTCGAGGCCTCCAAGCTTTGGACAGTGTTCCATCTTCACTGTCCACGTTACACGTTACGGGCTAGACACAGCATATTTTCAATGCGTTAGATGTGCCTTAGTCTCTTTCAGCTATCAGTCGTATTTAGGCTTCTTTTGGATTTTCGAAGAGAAACTTTAATTACAGGTTTTAATACAAATTCTGCTTTCTAAGCATGAGCCAACTCCGTGGCCAAATAAAACATCCTCCCTGATGAAACTCAGCTCATAGCCTGCCAGTGTGCAGTCTTTGTGTTTCCTATTTCTTTGGCCTGAAATATTGTCGTTTTACTGAATTCATTCCATCCCAACCCCTGGCTTGGGCTCTTTGTTTGTCTAACTTCTTATTTTTCAGGTCATACTTGATATATCATTTCCTCCCAGGAGCTTTCTCTGATCTGGGTTAATTTCCTCTCCCATGTACCCCAGCTGCGGCCTGTTGTGTGGGCATCAGCCTGTGACTTACTGCCCTCAGCCTTGGGCGCTCAGAGGACTGGGGTCACTTCTGTCTCATCTCTCTATCGATTCACCACGTATTTAGTGGACACCTACTGTATGCCAGTGCCAGTGCTAGGCACTAGGGATTTAGTAATTTACAAAGTAGAAAAAAAATGCCTTACCTTCATGGAGTCAGGAAAAAGGACCGCGAAGGGGGAAAATAGCGAAAATCTACAGTGTATTACATCTCGGCCTCTCGAACTCTCTTCTAAGCGAAGGGGAGCAAGCCACTCCACGCCAGCTCTCTCAGTCGGGACACGGTTGAGTACTTCTGAAGCTTTTTCTCACGACTGTGCCCATGAGGAAGCTCTTTAGAATTTCTGTTTCCTAAACCCCCGTCACCCCCCTCCCGCACGTGAAGTTTTAATACCACGGATATACTGTATGCCTGTTTGTATACTGTGGCCCTTGGGAGAGCCACAGACCAGTGCATATGTTTTTCATGACTCCCAGACCAGCTTTTATCACTATTACCCCTGTTAAGGATGCCTGGGTTGGGTTATGCTGCTGTGGCAATTATCCCCAAATGACAGTGGCCAAAAGCAGCAGAGTTATGCTCCATGACCTCCGTAGGTCAGCTGGGGACCCTGGGACTCAGGCTGAGTCACAGTCTGAAGCGCTGCTGGTCTCCAGGCAGAGAGAGAGAGAGAGAGAGAGAGAGAGAGAGAGAGAGAGAGAGAGCGAGCATGTCATAGGGAATTGTCCGTCGCCTCTGAAGCCTCTGCTCAGAAGTGACATATGCTGCTTTTGCTCACATGTCATTAGTAAACCAGGTGACATGGCCACACATTGTATTTTGTGGGGGAGAGGTGAGGAAGAGAAGTAGAATCTTATGTGGCTGGAAGGAAAAATACCAGAATAGTTGTAATGAGCCCTGATGACCACCAGAGTGACCCCCCGAGAGTCCTGGGAGGTAGGGAGACGAGAACACCAAAGCGTGTCAGAGTAATTTGTTCAAAAGCCTGCAAACGCCAAACTAGGATTTGAACCCAGGTAACCACCTAGCTCTTCCTGTGTATTTTTTTCTTGCCTCGGGGGTTCAGTACTGTGTAACGTGATGAATGTGTGCCCTGTCACGGGGCTTTCGGCTATGCATGGGACAGTTTCTGCTTCACCCCTGGTTTGTGGCCTCTTCAGTTAAAAAGGTCTATGGTCATTTGACACCCATGAGGACAGTAAAAATACTGCCAGAAATCCAGTCATGGCAGCTAGTAAAACTCTACATTGTCTGCACTGGGGATAGCTTAGCACATTTCATATGACTTTCTATCTGCAGAGTCCCAAAGGACCCAGTGTAACTGCCCTGAAACGACTGGGCATTGGGCGCACAGACTCCCTAGGAGGTCTTCGGGTCCATTCTGCTAGAGCTAACCAAGCTCCGAGGTCCCTGTCAAGACCTGGTGGGAGGAAATGGGTTTAATTGCAAAGCAAGGCATGTTGAAGGAGACGTAGCAGAAGAAAGCTCCAGGTCTTCGGGTTCGGGAGAGTAAGTAGCAAGCAGGCTTCAGACCCCGCAGGACTGCTGACGATATAGCTGCTGCTGCGGCTTTTCTCTCCCTCCAGCAGAAGGCAGTGGCTCAATGTTGCCCAGAGGGCCGGTGGCCGAGAAAATCCCATGGAGCCTTCTGCCCAGAGACCACCCCCTTACCGCCCCCAACTTCCCCTTCTCTCCCTGGGAGGATTTGCTCTGCTTCCTTCTTTAACCTCCAAAAGGGAAGATCATGCGACGTCCCCTCTGTTGACTTGCCAAGTTCCCTCTCCCTCAGGCCCCCTTTCTTCTTTCTTCTGCTCAGAAGAGAAATGGGTTGTGGTTTCTAGAGGAGGAATCCAGGTCTGAGATTTTCCAAACTTGGCAAGAGCTCCTGGCCAGGTTCCTCCGGGCCGTCTAGTTTGGTTCCGTGGGCTGTTTTGGGGACATCATAGCAGGAGAACCGCCAGGCTCTCCCAAGGGCTGGGGAAACCCCTGCGTGAGTCCCCCTGGCCTCATGGTCCACCGTGGGTTTTCAGCAGCAAAACTGTCCTGGGCCCTGGGTAGTCGTGGTCCCCAGACGACTTCCCGTGGAGCCGTCTCAACACAGTGCTGTGTGAATTCTGCAGCCTTCTTACGTGGCTCCTGTGGCTCTCCTGACTTGCCAAGGCTGCCACATGTCGATTCTGTCTCTACCTCCCCATACCTAGCACAGTGCGGTGGTTCGTAACTATTTATTGAATTGAAATGAATGGCGCTGCAGCTGAGACAGTAGAAGCTCAGAGAGGTCAAGTACCTTGCTTAAAGACACACAGCTAGTCGGAAAGAGACTGAATTCAGGATTTGAACCCAGTCCATCTGACTTCACTGCATTATATGAGTCCTGCATTCCAAATTGAATTTTAAAACTTCAGTTACTAGAAGGAGTATTTCACATAGCTATACTATAGATTGTTGAACAAGGGAGAACTGCCTTGGTCCAGTGGGGGATCAGGAAAGCCCCTGTGTCATTGACGTGTTGGAACTGTGTAGCCCGTTAAAGAGGTTTGTGAGGTTTTCCTGACTGATGCTTGTACTAAATCCTATATAGTATCCTTGTCACAGGGCGGTGAGAATGGCCAGTGACAGGAGAGAGCAGGGGTCCGTCACCTCTGAAGACTCTCCCTATTCGCCTTGCATTATGGTAATTGACCCAACCTGCTTTGTGGTCAACCTCTAGTGCCCTTTTGTCACCCATGCACAGTGTTTGCAAGCACAGGATGTACTTGGTCTGAGGAACTGAACATGTTGGGAAAGATGGCCCAGTTCAGCTTGATTCAGCCCAAAGCTTGACTGATAGCTGAACTCACAATGAGATTCCCCAAGCACCAGCTTAAACAAAAAAAATCAAACTCACAAACCCCCTCCATACTCCCCAAAACAAACAAACAAATTGTACAGCTCTTATTTTCATCAGAGATTTGGGTGACAATAAAGTGGAAATGTTGCCAGAACCTGTTTGGATATGGTTTACAGCCCAAATATATTTGTTGCATTTGGTGCACTTTGCAGAATGGCACTTGACGTTGGTAGCCTACCGGTAACACCACACCCCATTTCTGAAAACCTCTTTGGGATATGGAATCCCTAAAAAAATCCCTACAACTGTGGATGACTTCGCAGTGTGGAAGTCTGATATGTTTTATTCCAGACACACCTTTTATTTTTTCTTCCCCAAAGAGGCCTATAGCAATTTTACTTTCTCTTTTGTGGCTCATTGGGAAAAATGATGGTATTAACCAAAGGGCATTTGTCAAACTCTTTCCATTTACATTATGGAATGATTAATGTTGACTATTTCTATCTATGAAGCTAAATCTTGCGTATTTGCCCCCTTCAAGTACAAGTTCCCTTAGAAAAGAGGATAAGCATGTTATGTTCTGCCTGGCGGTGATGGGAAAAGGAAGAATTCACACAAGAAAAGATACACTTGTGACTCTTACTTCTGTATTTGGCTGCTCTGTTATGTAACAGATGGCATACCACAGGCATTAACTTCCTTCTTTATTTAAAGGGACTTATGCACCTTGACTGGTTCACCAAGGGGCTGATCAGGTGTGTGTTCATATTTAATCATAACAAAGTAGGCAATATGTAATGACTACTCAGTCATAGTGTCCAAAGATTTAGGTCAAAAAAGGATGAAAAATGGCAACTCCTCAATTTTTAGCATTTGGGATCTGTGGAAACCAGAGACACCCTGGGCACCCCGGTATGTGCAAGTCCCTCTATCAAGCAGGACAGCAACTGGAGGTCAAGTTCTTATATGGATTCTAGTAGCCAAGGAGACAATGAGCTACAAACACATCTTCCAGTTGTGATTTTGGGTTGGAACCCAGTTTCTTAGAGTTTAAAGAGGTAGCTATTACTGAGACCCACACACCAGCTCTGTCTGACAGCTGAACTCACCGAGTCACATCCAGGAATGGTTCAATAAATACTGCAGTAAGGTATTCACAGAGATTATTTTTTTCTTTTCATATATGTATATATTTTAACCTAAAGAGATTTCAATGGGAATTCTAATACAGTTCCATTGTAATTAGGCTCTACTGGGGTAAAACTTGAAAATAGAGGGCCCACAAGGTCAGTCTTCCACTTCCCTTTTTATTGGTCGATGGGCAGCAGCAACTTTCTATCTTAGTCTTTTCCTTAATCTTTTATGCAGAAAGCTGTGTCCCTACTGCTTTGTTTCATTCTTCTTTGTCCCTCAGATATAAGATCAAAGGCCCAGTTCAGGTCACTTACCCTCACTCCACCGAGCTACTGTTCTGATTAGTGTGAATATTCATTAGTGTCCGCCAATATCCGATGACAAATTAATTGTATTACTCTGAGGACTCACGTCACCTTGTAGACTTCATATCAATTCAGACTCTTTAATTTTGTTCATCTCATCTCTTCAGATAAACAGTCTCCCCCAACTAGCTCGCTATCTCTGTCACCAAATGCCACTGACATTCAGCATTAAACCGAAGGAGAAGGAGCAGAGAGCCTGTCTCTCACGCATGCTGGAATTCCCTGCAGGGCTTTGCACAGCTTGTGTGCAATAGATGCTCTGAAAGAGTTCATTGCGGGAATGCAGGAGAGAATGCGGGAGGCAGGTGACCTGGCTTTCAGTCCTCTGCCACTCACTAGTTGTGTGGCCTTGGACAAGCCACTTGACCTCTCCAACCTCTCCTTGACCTCTCCTTGACCTCTGCAAATAAGTGAGGGGCCAGATGTCCCCCCTTTTGTATTTCACAGTTCGATCAGATCTTCACCTTCACTTACTTTCAGCATCTTCATGACATAGGGCTTGTAGATGTCTCCTAAATCCCTAAGGATGCTCAGTAGGCATCTTCTTTCTAATTCCTTCACATGCTATCTTTAAGCTGGGACACATAAGTTTAAAGAGAAAAGGTAAGAAGACAGACCAATTCCAGTAAGAGGAGAACTTGTCATATCTGAGAGGTGTTTACCAAAGGTTACTATTTTCAGAAAAAAGAAAAGGGGAGCTTTTAATTAAAAGAATACTGTAATACTGTAATGACTGTAAAAAGAATACTGTGGAATAGTGTAGATTATGGAGGAAGGACTAATAGAAGAAGAGAGAAAGCAGACCATCACATTGTCTATTATCATATTCTAGGAAAGGAGAGATGATGATGAGACTCTTACTCCAAGCCGGGGACTGCTAATTCCTTAGCATGCCCTCATGCGACCCTACAGGACAGGGTTTCTTGTTCCCATTTTCTGGTTAAAACTGAGATTTAGAGAGACTGAATAATTTTTC